GTCCTTTTGTATTGGTGTTTGCATACATTGTTTTTCGAAAGACATAAGTGCTTTTGTGCCATCAGAGGAGTCGGTGGTGAGTGTTGTGTCGTGAGGCCGCTTTTGTGTGTGATTTTGTCTCAGATGGTGTTGAGTATTGCTGGGGAAGTCTGGGGCGGGGGGGTCTTGCTTGTTTTGGGAGCCATATGTATAGGGAGGGGAAGTCTCTTCCAAAGATATCATGTTCTAGGTCCACCCATCTTTTGACTCCATATGGGGCATGCCAGTTTTGGGCCTATGCTATTTGTGCCCAGTTGGGTGTAGTGGGTGAGGTGTGGTAGGCCTAGGCCTCCCGCCCAGTTGGGGACATTTAGCGTTTGTCATTTTATTCTCGCGCGTCTGTTGGACCAGATGAACTTATCGATTGTGGTTTGTAGCTGTTTGAATTCTATTGGGAGAGCTTGAAATAGGTATAAAAGCCTGGGTAGCACGTTCATCTTGACTGAGGCCAGTCTGTCCAGCCAGGATATCGGCATGTTCTGCCAAGTGGAGATATCTCGCATTATTTTTTGTATCGTGGGGGTGAAGTTCAACGCATAGCTGTGGGAAAGGTCTGCTGGTATGGAAACCCTCAGGTATTATATGTGAGTGGAGTTTATGCTAAAGGGGTAAGTTTCCTGCAGCTTCACTCTGGTGGGGGGGTCAATGTGTATGGGTAGGGCCTGTGTCTATATTAAGTTTATATCCAGATACGCTGGCGTATTCTTCTAGGGTGAGTAGGAGTGGTGGTAATGAGGTTGCCAGTTCTGTGATTGTTATGAGTAAGTCGTCTGCGTATGCTGGCATTTTGTATTCTTCCTCGCGTATTTTTAGGTCCCTTATGTCTGTGTTAAGCCTGAGGGTTTGTAGGAGTGGTTCCAGGGATAGTGCGAATAGGACTGAGGATATGGGGCATCCCTGGTGCGTGCCGTTATGTATCGTGAAGAAGGGTGGTTGGGTAAGTGGGAGCAGTAAGTGGGCCTGTGGTGTGGTGTACAATACTTGTAAAGTGTTCTTGAAACCCGGGGGGAATCCAGATTTTTCTAGGGTTGCGAACAGGAAGGGCTATAACAGTCTTTCGAAGGCCTTTTCGGTGTCTAGTGAGAGTAAGAGGGTTGGGATGCGTCTTGTGTGGGTGGTCCAGATGAGGTTGTATGTCCATCTTGTGTTGTCACTGGTCTGTCTCATAGGTATGAATCCTACCTGGTCTGGGTGTATTAGCTGGGGTAGAAGGGGGCTTAGCCAGTCTGCCAGAATTTTGGTAAATATTTTGATGTCAACGTTAAGGAGTGTGATTGGTAGGTAATGACTGGGTTCTAAGTGTGTTTTGTTGGGCTTGGGGAGAAGGCATACGTTGGCCTGTAGCATGTCTCGTGGTAATTGATCGCCGTTAAGTATGGAGTTGTATAGGTTACAGAGGTATGGGATTAGTGTGGGGGCGTACGTTTTATAATATAGTCCAGTAAACCCGTCCGGTCCCGGACTTTTACTGGGTTTGAGCGCTTTTATTGTCCCTGCGAGTTCCTCTGGATTGATTGGGTTGGATAGTGCTTGTGCTGTTTCTGTGGGCAGGGAGAGTAATGGGACCTGGGCTAAATAGTGGTCTTTAAGTGCTTTTGTGGATGTTGGGTGTAGCCGTGCGTCAGGGTTGTAGTCGTATAGGGCCTTAAATTATTTTTGGAACACTCTAGCGATTGTCTCTGGGTCTTCTGTAAGGGTTCCCTCTGGCGTGGATATTTTGTTGATCTGTTTTTGGACGGTTCGTTGTTTAAGTCTACGTTCTAGTAGTGTGTCGGCTTTGTTAGCTTTGTCGTAGAAAAAATTTTGGACCATAGGAGGGCTTTGGTCAAGTCTTTTGCCATGTATTCTTTTATGTCCGACTGACATTTTTTAATTTGTTTGTTCAGTTCTGCCGTTGGGTCAATTTTATGTTTTGTCTCTAGTGTCCTGAATGTCGTTAGTGTTTGTTCAAGGTGGGCTATCTGTTTTTTTTTGTGTGTATCGTTGCCTGATTGATTATGGCGCCCCGTATGACTGCCTTATGGGCTGCCCAGAAAGTCCCTTTGGAGGTCACTGAGTCCTTATTTAGGTTGAAGTATTCTGTTATGGCTCGAGCAATTGTTTTTCGGATCTCTGTGTTGTATAGGAGGGTAGGATTAAGTCGCCATGACCAGGATCTATTTGAACACGGTAGGTTTATTGGCTGCGTGATTTCCATGTGGTCTGACCATAAGATGGGGCAGATAGTCGTGTCTTTGACCATGGGTGGCTGGCATTTAGTGGCGTGTGTTGTTTCCTGTCCTTGTAGTATGTCCTTCTGTTTGTGGTCTTGTTGGTGTTGGGGAGTGTGTGTGGTGGTGGGGGGGCAGGAAGAGAACGTTGAGTTGGGGATGGAGGGAAGAGATAAGGAGGTAGAGGGGGGGGCTTGTTTGGGTTGGCGATGAGGTGGGGGACTGCGAGGGGGTTCCTGGTCTTACATGTCTGTTGCCAGGTATCGTGTGGGCGGAGGGGGTCGTGTGTGTGGGAGAGTGCTTGCTGTCCTTGGTGAGGGGACTGTTTACGTGTGTTCCCTTGTGGTCTGGGGGGTTTCGGTTGAAGGCGTGTGTGTGGGGGTGTGGTGGGAGGTTCGACTGCCGTTATGCCAGTCGCTCCTTTCCCCCGGGGTGTTCAGGTGGGTGTATCTCATTATGTGTTACGTAGGGAGGTCCTCCGAGTTGTGAGGTTAGGTCCCGCTTTCAGGTGGGATGTTAGGTGGTTGGTCTCATGGTTTGGGTGTCTGGAGGGTGTGCGGGTTCAAGTTGGTTCCGATAGGTTTCTTTGGGACGTGTCCTGGTGTCGGTGGCTTAGGTGGTTTCTTTCCGATTGGGAGTGTGGTTTGCCAGTGGTAGTGTATGTGTTCTGCAGCGTTGTTTGTGTGTGTGTATTCGTGTGTTCCATATGTGGTGTAATGTAGGGCGTAGGTGGTGGGTGGAGTGTCCTGACCTGGTTGTGTCTCTGTGTCTTTCTGTCCCTGTCCTGGACGTCCTTATATGGTCAGCATGGAGTCCGTCCGATCCAGTCGGTCGTTCGTGCGGGTTGTACTCTGTAAACATTCATGTGCAGTTGCGATATACACTAGAATACATAGTTGAAAGAGTTACAAATGCCATACATTCTATTTCGGTGAGACATACATATAAAACACAAGTATGTTTTGTATTCGTTGTGGGTTGGGGTATTCGACTAGGAGGTTCATATTGTGTGATTATTGTATGTTTGTTTGCATTTTCTTTACTGTGGTTGGTGGGTTGTGTGTTATCTGTTTCGACTGGGTTGAGGGGGGTTTGATTTTGCTTGTGTGGGTATAGTGCAGTGTTTTGTGTTTGTATGTGTGTGTGTGAGAGGTGAGGGTGTGGGCCGGCAGTCCGGTTGTGTGGTGTCCGGGGTCTCTGCTGTGGAGGGTGGTTCTTGGTGATTGTGCATACTGGGTGTGCTAGGGGTTCACCTGACCATCTTTAAGTGTGTGTGTGAGTTGTTTGTGTGGGTGTTCTGCTCCTAGGGGAGGGTACAAGCTTTAGGGTTGTTAAACTCTGCGGGCTGACTTAACCCTTGCTGAGCGGGTTTTGCTTACCTCTGCTGGTAGAGAGTGGGGGGGTTTCTTTGCTATTTAGTGGGGGTGCCAGTGCCCCACATACCCTGTAGGTGATTTAGGGTTGTGTTCGATGTTTGTGTCTATCTGAATCTGCCCCTTGTGTTCTCGAGGTGGAGCTCGTTGTTACGGCTGCACTATACTCTGGGTAGTTCCTTGGTAAATGGTTGGTATTACTTTGTGTTGTAGCTGGTGATCTAAGCATTTTTGTTGCCTCGTGACTTTGCAACTCTGAGTACCCGGTGGTATTGTGGGGCCGTAGGGGTTTAGCGAGAGTCTGGCTGTTGGAACTTGAGAGCGGGAGGGGTGCTGGTGCCTTTGAGTACCTCGAGTGGGTATAACATTTGTGTAATTTACCGTTATACAATATAATTGTGATAAAAGGTGCTTCGAGGCATTGTATATCACCATACGGTTATTTACATGTGGTTTTCACATACTGCATGTATTCATTGAGGCCTGCGACCGTTAATGGCCTTTTGCAGGGTCTGTCTTCCGTGGCCTCGGGGACGGTCGGGGCCCTGGGATATCGTGTACGGTAGGGAACAAATAACATATATAACAACATTTATACAAATTGTACAACAACTGTTTGGGTGTCTTATCTACACCCTGTGTGTGGGTTACACGGCCAGGGACCGTTATGAGTCTATTTCCGCCCCCACAGGGTCCATCTATCTGGGCCTCGGGGTGGGTCAGGGCCCAGGGGAGTCCCGTCATCGTGGGCCTTTCGGGCTCGCCTTAAAACAAACTCTTTAGTCTATCAACATGTAACGAGGGTAAGTTTGAACATAAAGGGTCGGGTGTTCATACTACTAGGTAGTTAGTGTCTGTGGTCTGAGGCCGCGGGTCGGTGCAGGATCACCTGTGTGGTTCATCTGGAAGGGTTCCGGTTGCTGTGTGCTTTGTTTCAGGTGCCAAGTTGGGCCTGTCCTTGAGAGGTCGGTGGAAGCCTCCTCTTGTTCTGCGGGCGTGCTGGGAGTGAGCAGGGTCCTCCTGTGGGGCTTGTGCTTTCCGTTGCGGTGGAGCTGGAATCCTATGATGAGAAGCACAGGGAAATCCCCAGGTGTGTTGCGAAGTCTTGCATGTCTGTCACTTGGTGAAGGGTGAAGGTTTGGTCTCCCTTTTTCACCAGCAGTTTAAAGGGGTACCCCCACGTGTATCGCCATCCGTGTTCAATCAATGCCAAATCTTGGTAGAAATGTAGTTGTTGTCCCTGATATGTGGGAGGATGGTCTCTCGATGCTTTCATTAGCATTTCTTTAACCGGGAAATGCAGGATCTTGGTGATGATGTCCCTTGGGACGTTCGGGTTGAAGGCCAGAGGTCGCAAGGCCCTGTGTGACCTTTCAATTTAAAGTTCTTGTTCAGGTATATCAGGGAGGAGAGACTGGAATATTGCTCTTATGGTGGGGAGTAGTGCCTCCGGTAGGACTGATTCCGGCAGCCCCCGTATGCGAATATTTTGTCTTTGAGACCTATTATTAAGATCTTCCAGGCCGTCCTCCAGGTACATCACTCTCTCTTTTAGTGTCTCCAGGTCCTGGTCCTGATTTGCCACCTTTGCCTGTGTCTCTGTGATCATGCGTTCTGTGTGGCTTGTGCGTGATCCCAACGCCTCCATGTCTTCTTTTAGGCCGGTTATTTGATTTTCTAGTGCTGCTGTGGTGTAGACTTTAATGTCCTCAGATGTTTCCCGGAGCATTTTCCGGAGGTTGACTTTGGTGAGAGGGACCGTGTGGTTTGTTTCATACTCGCTCCCTTCAGATTCGGAGCCCGAGTCGGCCTGGCTTTGGGCCAAAGATGGCCGCTTAGCTTCTCTGGCGCAGAATATCGTGGCCACCGATGGTGTGGACTCCTTTCATTTTTTGCTGCCCTCCATTAGGCAGGTTAGTGGGGAGATTGTTGGTGGCCAGAGGGTAGTTTTTGAGGAATGAGATGCGCTTTTTAATAGCGGATGGTTGCGGATTGCATACCCAGGGTTAGGGAGCTAAGGGCTCACGCGTCTTTCTCCGTGGAAGGTTAGGCTCCACTCCCCTACACGATTTGTTTTTTATATCATTCTCTTTCATGTTGAGGTCAACATATTTGCAAGTATAATATTTTATATATTTTTATATTTTAAGCATATTGGCACATAAAATCACTTTAACTGTTTTTTGCACATACACTAAAAACATTTAAAATTGCACTTTAAATTGAAACATAATTTGAATTGCTATCTGCACAATAATTAATAAGCACTGTTTGCTGTTTTTTTAACACTTTGTGATATCTTAAAAGCATGTATATTCAATAAGCACGTTTTTAAATGCACAAGCGCACTTTATGTTTTGGTTTGATATCTGATTTAGTGTTCAGTGATGCTAAATACACTGATAAGTTGCTGATATTTAATTATATACTTTTAGCGCCATTTATACTTGTAACTTTTTGGTTGTTTGACTAACTGCAATTCATATGATACCGTTTTATGAATTTGAGGTCATTTAGTAAGACAATTTAAGACATTTAGAAGATATTCCCCTTTACAGAAAATAAGGAATTTTACATTTATGTATACAGAGAATGTACATACAAGTTTATATTTTATTTCCTTTATCACATGTATAGGCCCAAGTTTGGGCCTAACATAAATTTAGACAGTCAGTTGGAACACCTAGCCACATAAGTGCATGAATACCCAGGACAGAAAATGAAAACTTTAAAATGTAGACTGAAATATTAAATTGCAGGGTAACTAACTAAAATGCATATGATAAAAGTCGATATGGCCTAATGTAGGCCAAATACAGTAAGCAGAATGAGGCATGCTATGTATGATTGAAATAGGCTGAATTTTTGTTACTAGTAAAATTTGCCATATCCGAATGGCTGAACAAACAAACTTACGGTTTTGTTGAAAAAACAACAGTTATAGAAGCCGAGGCTAGGCTGGGCTGGACGCGGCAGTGCCCCATGAGCTTCTAGTGAGGCGGCTGTTTACTAGAGTGAAGTAAAACAAATACCTGCATGGGCCACACTAGGCCAAGACCAGCTTGTTTGGAGTTTAGGCAGTTTGTGTTGATGACCTTTGAACTGGAAGTAGATGGTTCTCTACTGAACCAGACAGTTTCATCAGCCTGCAGCTCGTCAGACGAATCACAGTATGGTAGGGAAGGGGGGAGTCCCTTTTAAAGGTCCATAAGCCCCTCCCACAACTTCAGTCCAAGCCTTTCAATATATATATATATATATATATATATATATACACACACAAAAATCAAATCGGCTTGGTACTCTCCTGACCACTTTCTATAGTAAACTTCCCTTTGGTGCTACCCGTGTTCCATATATCCAAATAATATCAAGGGTGCACTCATAGAACTTGTGAACATCAATGGTGATTTAATCAAAAAGCAAACAATTACATCTGTAAATCGACCCCTGAGGGTCTTTCTCAAGATATATATGCTATGTACGATTGAAATAGGCTGAATCTGAGTTACTAGTAAAAGTTGCCATATCCGATATAGATATATATATATATATATATACATTTATATATATATATATATATATACATTTATATATATATATGTATTAAGGCCTTTTGGCCTGTAATTGTGGGAGGGGCGTATGACTCACCTTCTCCCTACTTAAGGGACACCCCTTACCTGGCTCCATACCGTTCGAGGTCAGCGCTGCATCTGAATCCACTTCCGGTTCACGTGCGGCGCCATCTTGCTTTTTCAAAAACCAGCGGTTTCGTTTTGGTGTAGCTGTGTCCAGGAATCCTCACAAATCAGGTCTTCCGCCCGTCCAGCCACACACACACCCGGTGGTCCGTCGCAGATTAAGTCCACAGGACTGCAAAATCGTAAGTCCGTCGCCCGGATCATTTCCCACGGCGTCGCGATTTAAAACGGCCTTACTTTACGGCCACACGCTTTACGGCCAAGTAACAGGCATAGTTAACCCGTTTGCTTCCGGCATGATCGCTGTATACTATGCTGACTGACGGTTCGGTTTTGTATTAACTAAACTTCTTGTCTTCTGCATATCTGTATCTATAGCTGTTTTTATGTTACCATTGGTATTTATTTTATGCTATTACTGGAGCAAATCCCCCCTTTTTAACTACATTTAAATAAGTATTTGTTTTAGGTTATGGTTTCATTCTATTAACAGATATGGCATTAGTTATATTGGAATTTCTTCATGTTACATATGTATATATATATATATATGGATTTATGCTTAAACAAGCCTTTTACAATATTTATAAAATAGCTCATGTAGGACTCATGTTATTCATTATGTTTTAGAAATTTACGCTTCTATCACACCATGTGATAGACTTCGGCGTAAAGAATACACAAGCAACGTATACCCTTAATGGAAGCGAATTAGGGATAACAACACATGAAAAGGACTTGGGAATTGTTATAGACAACAAACTATGCAACAATGTGCAATGTCAATCAGCAGTGGCCAAGGCCAGTAAGGTATTGTCATGCATGAAAAAGGGCATTCATTCTCGGGACAAGAATATAATTTTGCCTCTTTATAAATCACTGGTAAGACCCCATATTGAATATGCTGTGCAATTTTGGGCACCTGTTCTAAAGAAGGATATTATGGCACTAGAAAAAGTGCAGAGGCGGGCTACAAAATTAATAAAAGGAATGGAACATATCGGCTATGAAGAAAGGTTAACAAATTTAAACCTATTTAGTTTAGAAAAACGTCGCCTGAGAGGGGATATGATAACATTATACAAATATATTCGGGGCCAATACAAACCATTGTGTGGAAATCTATTCACAAACCGGACTTTACATAGGACACGAGGCCATGCGTTTAGACTGGAAGAAAGAAGATTTCGTCTAAGGCAAAGGAAAGGTTTTTTTACTGTAAGAACAATCAGGATGTGGAATTCTCTGCCTGAGGAAGTGGTTTTATCAGAGTCCATACAGATGTTCAAACGGCTACTAGATGCATACTTGCAAGAACAGAATATTCAAGGATATAATCTTTCAATGTAGGGTAATAACTGCTTGATCCAAGGATAAATCTGACTGCCATTCTGGGGTCAAGAAGGAATTTTTTTCCTAGCTTGTTGCAAAATTGTGCTTCAAACTGGGTTTTTTTGCCTTCTTTTGGATCAACAGCAAAAAACAAATGTGAGGAAGGCTGAACTTGATGGACGCAAGTCTCTTTTCAGCTATGTAACTATGTAACTATGTAACTATGTACACACGTTTTTCTTACATGGCACTTATAAATTCTGACTTTTTCTTTGTGTACTCAAAACGTCATACCAAGTACACAAGAACACGGTCTCAAAATCTCACAAAACTTTCGGGTTGAATCACACGTCTTGATTCAACCACTCATACGTCACGTTTTTTCTGTTTTGGGGATAATTTCTATAGTATTTTCTACCTCATACTCACCTCTTTTCGTGGCTTACATTCACGGCCTAACATAAACTGTATTGTTTTAAAACCTGCACCATATTATACTACAAACACTAGCATTACTAAATCATACGCGTTAATCTTGTCACCATAGAGACATTTTATATACACCCCTAATCCTGGTTACCAGGACCATACCACATAACATGGCCAGTAGGGCCACTACCTTTCATAAAATTCCTCCTCCACTTATGTACTAATAGAACTCAGCAGCTAACTAGTCCAATTGGTATCATAAGATCCATTTCTCACACTATCATATCTGGTTTTCTATCCCTTTAGGTTTTTCCAGGTTTTTCTATATCTGTTGCTTATCAAACTCATACATACTACCAGGTACTTTAAGCCTGCTCACGCCACATATCACATATGGTTCATCTCTACTTAGGACATAGAGTACTGGCAATTTTAGGACTTATAGGCCCAAATAGGTATCTCCCCTCTGGGCATCCTGCCTATCGTTTAGTGGTCCGCGAGGCCAACACCCCGCCTCAACGTTTCGGAGGTAATGCCCCCCGGGCCACACGTGAGTTAGCCGCCTCGCAAATTATAGAGAGGGCGCCACCTGTCACTCCCTTCCCCTGTTTTCTGTATTGTCACCGAGAGGCCTACGAACTCCTGCCTACGTCGGGTGGCCTCAAATAACCCCTCGCGCCAACGCATAGATAGAGCCTCTCATAGCCACTTGGCAACTAGCAGGGCCTCACCTGTCACCAAAGAACAAGATTAATTTTTCGCCTCATCCGGCATAATTAGCCTGCCAGTACATCCCCTGGGGTTTTTTTACGCTAACCATATATTTTGTCATCTAGTATGTCTCAAGAAGGGGTAGAGGATTTCTCCATCCCGAGTACTCCGGCTAGAGCAAACACCCCATCACTAGTGATGTACCGAACGGTTCGCCGGCGAACGGTTCCTGGCGAACATAGCATGTTCGCGTTCGCCACGGCGGGCGAACATATGCGCGGTTCGACCCGCCCCCTATTCGTCATCATTGAGTAAACTTTGACCCTGTACCTCACAGTCAGCAGACACATTCCAGCCAATTAGCAGCACAGCCTCCCTAGCAGACCCTCCCACCTACTGGACAACATCCATTTTAGATTCATTCTCAAGCTGCATGCTTAGTAAGAGGAGGGAAAGTGTAGCTGCTGTTCATAAGATAGGGAAAAGCATAGCTAGGTTAGGGATAAGGGTATGCTTTTTTTTTGATTTTTTTTTTCTATGTAATGTAAATGCACTTAGTTGTCTGCCACTGCTGCCAGCTTCTGTGTCAGGCTCACAGTGCCCATTTTCCCAGTCAGTGCCACCAATTACATCTGGTGTCACAATAGCTTGGATTTAAAAACAAAAAACTT